ACTGGTACCACATCTCTCTCACTACAGTCCATTGGCCAAAGCGAATTGCAAGATTCAGGGCACGGAGGAATAGACTGTCTCCTCATGAGAAGAGTTACTATGTCAGTTGTAAGGGACAAGGAAACAGGGAGGAATGAAGAACTGCAGGTAGTTTTGCAATCAATCTACCACACCCTTCTTCTCCAATTCTAATTTACACTTCTACTTTAACTCAGCTGAGCACTACCTCCCACTAGAAGCTTTTTCTAATCCCCTCCTTTCTCCTCTCCTTGGATTCCAGGCTTATGTATATCATAGCACTCCTCACATTCCCTAAACATGAGCACACCACTATCTAGTCCCTGCTAAACCCCATGCTACCCTGAGGGCAGGGACCAAATGAATGAATGGATGAATACTTAGTTTTCTTTCTCCATAAATGTCCTAAATGTTTTATAAATCACAAAGAGCTTAGGTTGTGGAGAGATAATACTTTGTTCAAATCTTATCTTTGCCTCCTACTACTAGGTCAAGCCAAACAAGGTAATTAATCTCTCTCTGTGCAGTGGGAATTATAACGGTACATAGCCCAGAGAACTGTGAGGGCAAAATGAGACAATACAGGGAGAGTGCTTAGAGGCTTACAGGCTTAGAAGAGTGGCTGGCACATAGCAATTTTCAGTAGTGGTAGCCTTTGTTATTATGGATGCATCTTCATTGTAATATGGCACCTAGTTTGTAGAAAACTAGGACTACATTCATTCATTCAATAAACATCTATGTGGCCCTCACTTATTTGTTGCCCACTGTGCTTCTTGCTTCTCACACAATAGAAGAGCCTCATGTCGCCAGCCATTTGGCTCCTGAGTATCTGAGTATGTTCTGCTTCCATTGCAGGCTCTGCACTCCCTTCAGTCATTGGACAGACTATTACTTCCTTCTCTTAAGGTGGCTAACTGAACCTTCCCCACCCTCAGGGCAGAGGAGCCTGTCCAGCCTGGGCCTCCACACCTGGCTCACAAGGGGACATGGTAGGGATGCTGAATTACTACAGATCACAGGAATGGTGAAGAGGACTGCGTGGGAGGAAGTTCTTTGCAAACTCAAGAATCGAATTCAGTGTTGTAACATTCTGGGAACTGTTAAAATAAGACACATGTATGACTCCAGATTTTTGAAATGGCCACATGAAACATCTGTTTCTGCCATAGAATGGTTTTTGTTGGTTTTCTAATCTGAAAAAAATTAGAAGATGCCTTATGAACAATGCACTGACTCAGCTCTGTTAGGCTCAACATCCGTCAATGTGGGAATGTGTCTACCACTTTTAACATCCTGCACATTGACTCTGTGGCTTGTATATAGTGCACCTCAGCAGAAACTGAATCTGGCAGGAGTGTGGCACCACCAGTTCCTCCCATGTCCCAGCTGCCAGGTCAGATGACTCTTGCCTGGTCTTGAGATTGGTCCTTAGAAGTTCAGGTTGGAACCGAAGCCTTTTGAAATACTCACAAGAAACCTGGTGTCTGGTGGAAGGTAGATTGTAAAAGGGGGGGAGAGGGTGGGGGGAGAGAAATGACCCAAACAATATATGCACATGTGAATAAAAGAATAATAAAATTTTAAAAAATAAATAAAATAAAATTTGTATTTCCTTAAAAAAAAAAAAAAGGAGAAATCAGGGCAAACCTAGATGAAGTTGGATTTGTATTTCCATGGGCCATCTCATGAAGTTTATGGAAACAGTACTACTACTGGACACCTGTGTCCATACTGACTTTTTTAGTCTCTAAAATGCTTTTGTGTCACAAAGTCAAAAAATATAATTTATCACTACTCATACTAGTTTTGAAAGTATGTTTGTTTCCATGAGCTAGTCTTGCTTTCAAAGTAGATACTTAGCTTTTTAAATACAAAAAGCATGTTTCCTCCACAACCCTTAGCACACCACTGTACGCTATTACTTGATTCCTCTGTTTTTGCAAACTATAGCCCACAAATGTTTGGTTTGGCTAGTTTTTTGCTTTGTTTTGTTTTGCCTCAGTGCAGTGTTGTGCAAGGCAATGTAATCAGGAAGATGTAATACTGGGTTCTGATATAAGCTGTCTAGCATGTGATGTCCTGTGCCTGGTCACTGCATGTTTGTGTAACCTTCCCTAGGAAATTGGATTTCCACCACTACTCATGGCTCATTTGCTTGTTTTCTTCCCAGTATCCACTACCTATCAAAGCCCTACCTTTGATTTCAAGGTCTAATTCTGGTCCAATCTTCTCTGTGAAATCTTTCTGATATGGTTTGTAGAAGTCTCCCCTCCTCTGAACACCACCAGCACCTACACTCAATGTATGTTATTGAACTGCTAGTATATATTTCCTGGTGTTTTTGCATTTCTCTGTAATTACTTGTCCTCTCTTTCCAACTAAGTTACAGGTACTTTTTGAGCAGACCCTTAATAAAACCATTTTGTAGCCCTACTGGTGACCATACAGAGTAGGTGCTAAATATACATTTCTAGGCAAGTGGGATTGATGCTCTGAGAGATAGTCATGGACTGGGGACATTTTCCTGAGACGACTAGGCCAATCTTATGGCCATGTTTCTCTTGTCCAAATCTCCATTTGGCATTTGATTACAACCATGGATCTCTTCTAATTCTTTATCTTTTCCAGCCCTCATTAAAAGTAGTAAAAGCCTCCAAGTCATCTCCAAATCTTGACTTTTTCCCTTTACCCACTGCAAAAGGCATCTGCTGTACTCTCTTAAACTAGCTAGCTGTTTTCCGGAATTAGTTCAATTGCAAGAGACAGAATGGATGGTATTAGACATGTCTGGCAGTGTCATGCTGCTTACCAGACAATTATTAGCACTATCCAGCGCTTTGCCCTGAGTAAACACCACTGGCAATTCATGACTCCTACTCTTAAGGAGTCTGCAGTCTTGTTGGAAAAATACTGCACACACACTAAATATATAATAAGACATTACATACAGTACTTGAATGTCAGCAAGGGCTACAAATTACAAGGAAGGATGTTTCTCTGAAGAGTGGGGGAAGGCCTTAACTGAGGGCTTGAGCATGAATCAAATTTATATAGATGAAATGAAGCAAAGACACATGGAGAGAAGGGGGAACAGGTGGGGTGGGAAGATGTAAAGCTTTAGGGTCACATATAATCAATTACAAGTTTCTGAATCTCATTCCTTATTTGAAACATACTCGTGACATTGCTATGATTAAACAGACACAACATGACAAGGTCTGGTATAGGGTCTGATGCACAGTAAGTGGTAATTGTTTGCCTTATAGAAACATAAAACATGATACAGACAAGGATGCAGGACAGGGCATAGGGCAGGCTAATTAAACTTAGTGGTGGGACAGGAGGCGGGAGCATTTGGTTCCACTCACCTGTTGAAAGGTTTAATAGTGAGGATAAGGGTTGGGCTTTAAGCAGTCAGGTGGGATGTAGAGGGGAGCACTGAGGAGGTTTCAGCATATTCTGGAAATTCCTAGTTTAGAAAGTACAGACTGAGGCGTCAGAAGGAATGGGTGGCAGGAGGCAGGGGACAAGTCTTGACTCTATTCATTACACTGAGAGACTTTGTGTGCAATGTTCTGAGAAATACTAAAATAAGAAAATCCTGAAATATAACATATGGAACTGAATATAAAATATAAAATTTACAATACTGAAAACCCACAAGGACCTACTTCCACCAGATTGTTCAGAGCCAGAAATTCTGAACAATTCCTCTCTCCTGAGCCACTCAACTGTTTTGTATTCTAGAAACCCACCATGACAATGATTTTCCAAACTTGCCAAAGTTGGAAATCAATCAAAGGTGATGTACTGCTTAACAGCTGAGGTTTTGTGTGGCTCATCAACTCTTAAGTAAACATGAAATTTCTATTTGCAGCTGTTGTCAGGTGGTTGGTGAGAGAATGGTCTGGTGGTAGGATGTGACAACACACTTTTCCAACAGCATCCTTTTGTTGTTCTCAGTTTACACTTAATTGAACATAATCATTTTCCTCAACAGAAGAACCTGTTCACAGGTAGTAAGTCATTTGAGGGAGGGAAAGGAATGAGATGTCATTTACAAATTATATGCATTATGCTATGTCAATTTGTTATCAATACCAAAGAATATCCAAGAAACTATAGACCAGAAGAAATAACTGTCTTATGTTGTGCTCAAGTTGAAAAACATAACCAATTAGCCCAAACAGAACAATGAATTGAGGACAAAATAGGAGAAATAAACCTTATAACCAAAAGGTGTAGTTGAGTTGAAAATTACTATTCTAGAGTCTAGCAGAGTTGCCAGAAGACTTCCACACCAAGTGGGTTAAAGCCGTTTCAGATAATTCTATGCTTAGCAGCTTCTGTGATTCCCAGTGTAGTCCTCTTTATAGAAGGCAAGCCTTGGGCCAGGGGTGTAGCTCAGTGGTTGGGTATATGCTTAGCATGCGGGAGGCTAAATTCAATCTGCAGTACCCTCCCCACAAAAAGCAAGATTTTGTGAAGTAAGGAATATAAGTGAAAAATGTTTGCTGTGGCAATAATGTTGTGTGATACACTAACTGTGAAAAGACCAAGGAAATTACCCTCTTGGAGAACAGGTGCATTCACTTGAAAAGTCTACTTGTGTCTCAACTCTTGACTGTATTTTATGTTACACCAAGAGGTTCTGATATGCCTCTGCATACCATGTCTACCTTGGATGGATTTAAGTATGGATTATGATAAACAAAGCTTGGTACCTTTAATAAAAAGCCCTAGTTAAAGTGAGTTGGATTTATTCAGGGCTTACTGTGTACCCAGCTTGTGCTGAGAACTGAAGATATGAAGAGAATTAGTACCCAACTCCTACTCGTAAGGAATTCAACCATGAGACAGACACACTAAAACAAGTATCTCAAGGCAGCATATGCCAAATACTGCCTGAGCAGTATTGGATTCTAAGTGGGAAGGTTTGCAGGATGTCTGGGGCAGGGGGTGTGTTAATTGGGTGGGAGTTGAAGGTGGCATAGAGGAGTGAAGAGGCTGGATAATGTTGGTGAGGTGGTTTGCAGCTAAACTGGAGAAGACATTGATAACCAGAATGCCAGCTTTGCAGGAAACCAAAATCCATTTAAAGACTGGCGGTGGGACAACATGTTTGCCCTTTTGTTTTGATTTTGAGACAGGGTCTAATATGTAGCCCATACTGGCCTTGAACTCTTGATCCTTCTGCTTCAGCCTCCCCAGTGCTAGGATTATAGATGTATGCCACCAAACTCAGCTTACATTTGCCAATGATTCAGGAAGATAAAGCTGGTAGCAGTGGGTTGGGTAAGTGAGAGTTGGGGCAATAAGACCATTGATTAGGAAAGTTGAAATAGTTTAGATGGCAGCTGGTGGACAAGAAGCCAGGATAAGGCATAGGATGAAACACATAAGAAGAACTCAGAAAAAGCAGTTCTTGTAGCCACACTTCCTTCCCAGTTGGATCGTGGTTACCATTACTATTAGTATGTCTCTCCTTTTCTGATTAAATTATACACACACCCCAAACTTTTATTCATTTCTTTCTCTCACCAACTTCCCAAGTTTCCCCAAGGGAAGCTACCTTTTCTGCAGCTCCACAGGTAGCTTAGTGCCCTTCAGCGTACCAGGCGGCCCCTTCCCAATACCAGCCAGCTCTGCAATTTGCCCAGACCAAGCTTTTCTGGCATTGATTACTATGGCACAGTCCACTGGCTGGTGCTCCAGGCTGTTGTCCATCTTCACCTGTAGGTACCAGAGGATGATGGGAGGGAGGGCTGGGCCACTCACTTGACAGGAAGAGAGGTAACAGCCTCCTAATCTTACTTTACTCATACTGGAAAGGGAGGAGAAGAAGACCAACGTCAGGACAGTCAGTACACCTTTCTTGCCTCTCCATAGTGGATAAGAAATGGGACTAGGGACTTACGTGTGAAAAGAATTCACAGATTGTTTTCAAGATCATCTCTTCTCCACTTGAGATCTCCATGAACTAGATGAAATGATAAAACCCGTAGAAAAGAAAAAAATGAGCCCTTAGGATTTGGGGGGGTGTAACTCAGTGGGAGAGTACGTGCTTAGCATACACAAGGCCCTGGGTACAATCCCCAGTATCCCATACCCAAAGCCCTTGAGGCTCTGAGGAGGGAAATGGGAATCCCACTGGTTTCTTAAGGAAAAAAAGGCTAGAAGGATGAACACTTTTCCATGACACTGAAGCAGAGATCAGGAAAGTGGGATGAACTTAGCCATACATACAAGGGTCTGGGCAGTGCTGGAATTGTCAAGCAGGTTATATAAGTCACAAAGCAGTCAGAGCTGGGTTGCCATGGATTAGCCCTCTCCCCCATCAACCTTTCTTAGCCCATGAGTGAGAAGATGGGGCCCATCTAGGCCTTGTCCTGCTAACTAGAGGACATTAGCAGAAGGTATGTGGCTTTGGGCTGATGTATCACCTCTCTCTGGTAGACAACAACTTTTGCCAAAGCCCCTGGAGGAGAGAACAAGGGTCAAACCAGCCTTTGTCCTCTATCCCTAAGATGAAGAACAGAAAACTCCTGAAAAGCTCCCAAAAAGGATCTGAGGTCCATCCTTTCCTAGTCTATTTCCTGACCCTCCCTCTAACATTCTTCTAGGACCAGAGTCCAATAAGGCTGAAAGAAGAAGTAGCATGGCCTGGGATGAGCCGTTTCTCAGGAGGAAGTAGTTGTCCTTTAGCAGAACCATGGCATATGAGACTTCCAACCCAAGAAGCTCCTCAGTTCCTACCTGTAGGAGAAAGCTATCCCCCCTTTTTGCAGATGAGCCTCACCATAAGACACCAGGACCACTCCCTCTGTGTTTATCCAGGGAAAGGTGTTCTGAAGCTGCTCAGGAGACATCAGACAAACTTTGGTTCCTTCTTGCCTGAGAGAAATGTGTGTGTCTGCGTATGTGTATTAGAGAGAGTGAATGTGCATGGGGGAGAAGCATGAACCTCAACTCTACAGAGGGAGTCCAGCTCGTTGAAGTCACTCTCTATCCCAATCTCCCCAATTTTTTTCCACTGGTGAATGGCAAAGACCTAGCCTTCCAGTCAAGGCTCTTTAGCATCTAAACCCTCTTTTCTACTTTCTACCTTCATCTCCCTCTCAGCTCCTTCTCATACCCTACCCACTCCGTTTGATTTCATGACATGGAGAACTTTGTTCCCTTAACTACTGTCCAGAACACTTTTCTTTCCACTGCCTAGTACAATCTTGTCAGCATAAGTGTGTCCTCTGGGACAGTGTCCACCAAAGGCAGGAGAATGCTGGTGTTTAAAAAATAAAACAAACAAAAAGAAACAAAACAAAAAACCTAAGTACTGAAATGAGCCAAAATGCCTGGTTTAAACAGAATCCCATTGTCACAATTTACTAGTCCTTGTGTCTCATTCCCCCACATATGAAATGATGTCCTAATGATTAAATGAGTCAGTATCCATAAAGCATTTAGGACACTGCCTGATTTAATTAGCAAGACTTATGTTTGTTAAGAAAGCCTCCAGCCATCAGGAATCACAAAGATGCCCGCCCCTCACGAATTATGAGACTCACTTAGGACCGGGGTTGCCAAATCTGACCTGCTCTCTGTCTTTGTAAATGAGCCACAATCATTTATATTTTTGTCTATGGATGTTTTGTGCTACAATGACAGAACTGAGTGGTTGCAACAGAGATTGAATGGCTGGCAAAATCTAAAACATTTACTATCTGACCATTTACAGAAACAAGTCTGCTAACCCCTGACTTATGGTTCTTGTTAAAAGCCTAGATTCCTAGGCCTTTGTTAGTTCTGGAATGTGTTCTAGGCAGTTCTTATGATCTGGTAAACATAGAAACCACCAGGGTGTTCTGTCCATGTCTGAGTTACAGCACTCACCATAGGGCATCGAAGGTCTGCATGTGCCCATCTCCCCTGACAGACTAAGCTCCTAGAGAGGAGGCACCTATGACATCAACTCCAGCTTCTCTGCTCCAAACTTTGTGTAGGAACTCACCAAAAACTGTGAGGTGGAGAAGCAGCTTAGGGCTGTGCTGGGCACTCACTCTGCACTTCTACTTTTTCTCCAAGATCGCAGCATCCTTTCCTGAAGCCAGCAGGAGATAGTGTAAGGGTTTGAACTGGAGGCCCAGGGGAGGGGTGTCCACTACAGCCAGGTACTCCTGTGTACATTCAAAAAACCTGCTCTCTAAAGAGACTGACTTTAAAGAAGAAACAGGGAGCACTCCTAATTAGCATAGAGATTGAACAATGCCCTGAAGAAAATGGATAAAACCCTCAGACTATGTCATTTCTCTGGCATCCTTTCTTTGGGAGCTCTACTCTTTGCTACTTTTCTATCTCAATAAACTCTCCCACTTTACTCAAAAAAAAAAAAAAAAAAGAAGATGGGAGCTGGGTGCAGTGGCTCAAGCCTATAATCCTAGCTATGACTCGGGAGGCAGAGATCAGGGGATCACAGTTTGAACCCAGTAAAGGCAACAGTTTGAGAGACCCTATATCAAAAATACCCAACACAAAGAAGGGCTTGTGGAGTGGCTCAAGTGGTAGAGAGCCTGCCTGGCAAGCATGAGGCCCTGAGTTCAAACTCTAGTACCGCCATAAAAAGAGAGAGAGAGTTGGGGAGCTTTCCTGGTGTCCTCATTATGGCTCCCTGGGCTGCTCTGGGCCCCAGATCAGAGAGAATCCCTCCACTAGGCACCAACTCTGGGAAGAAAAGCAAGGGTCCCAACTCCTAGCTGCTTGAATTGCTCCTGTTCCTGTTGCCAGGTGAGCTATCCTTCTTTCTAGGTTAAAGCAGAGGTCACCACCTCAACCCTTCCAAATCTCACCGCACATACATTGATATTCCACAGAGTGTTGACTGAGAAGAGAGAGAGCTGGTTGTTCTCAGGCAAGGAGAACTGCTGACAAATCCCATCCACAGAAAGCCATGTGGAGGCCTTGGAACACTGTAAAAGACCAGAAAAGTTGAGGTAGACCGATACACTATCATATGTGAATGGAATACTGCAATGGAAGCTGTCAGTTATCTACTGAAAGTTAAAGGGGAATCCTACTCACAAGTTTATAATCTAAGAGGGGCAAGCGTGGATGAACTGAATACATGTCAACTAGAAGCCCAATGACAAACTGTTTAAAATAATTTTTGACAGATAAGCATGGCAAAAAGGTCAATCATCTACAAAGGACTGAACACACTGGAACAAGATGGAAATGGCCTAGAAATCCAAGGGCAAGAGGCTGAGATTTGACTACTAATTAGAAAGTATATGACCAAAATACCAAGACTTGCAGCTAGATGGCAATAGCAAACAGGAACAAGCAAAGTAGAAAAACCTCAAAAATAATGGACAACAGGTCTTCCCTCTCCTCTTTCCTTGCTCCTGGGATACTTAATGATTCACCTTCATTACTCCACTCATGACTCTGTCCTCCCCCAGACCTCCCTGTGAGTCTCATTCTGCCACCAGTACCTGAATGGCACCGTGTTTCTTCTCTAGCTTCCTCAGCTACAGACAGGCCAAGGACCCCACTCCCCACAATCACCACATCCGAGTGTTCTGAGGGCATGTGGCTGGTGTTGAACAGTGGATCCGAGATCTCTCCGAGCAGGACTGACTGGTCTTCTTGATCTCGCACACCTTTCCACCCCAGTCTGTGGGACATAGTTATGGCTAGCATATGTGTTTCCTTCCCAAGTGGTGGGGTTTTGGAGGATGACCACAGGAAAAGGTGGGCTTAATACACCTGAGTTGGCAGTCCCCATTGCCATCCTTTTCCATAAGGTCCACTCCCACCCAGGAGTATCGTCACAGCTTTGCTGTAAGTCTATACACTATCAGGCTCCCATTTTATGCATCATGGCCAGCAATTCAAGATTCAACTTCCTAAAATTAATACTTTTCACTTTCTCTGTAAACCAGGTGACGCACACACATATTTATCGCTTGCACAGACCTCACTGCCTCCTGAGCCCCAGATATTCAACGCACTATCATCTTCACTACAGCATTCCAGGACTGCGGAACAACAAATAGTTCCAGGCGTATTCCACGCTGCGGCGCCTTCTAAAGCCTGGTACTTCTAAGTGGCCCCTGATTCCTGGATATCCATTACCACCAGCAAGCCTCCATTTATGTAGGATTTTCCCATTGAGAAGAGTCTCCTTGGGATCTGTTCGGGTTCTACATTTGTGAAAGGCACGCTTACCCCCTTCCCGCACCGGACCCACTGTCCTGCCAGCGTGGGCTGAGTTCCGAGCCCTAAGGTCACATAGCTGGAAGTTATGGGCATCCCAGAACCATACCCTCGGCCGACTTCAACTTTACCCAGAACAGAGCCTCCTCTGCGCGAGCCTAACCCCCGGAATAGGAGGCCCGGACCCGAGCCGAGCTGCAGCGCCGGCTGAAACACAGCCCTCCGAAACCAAACCCCGCCCAAAACTACACCTTAACCCCCCTGCTGTCTCTATCGTCACCGCCCCGCGCCACACCGGCGCGCCCATTGGCCAGCAGTCCTGTCCAGGCCCCACCCTTCCACGCTATAGGTAGCCGTCTCCCCGTGACTTCCCCGAGAACACCGCCCAGGACTGCCCCCACCCGCCATTGGCCTACCTTGCGTTACGTCACTTCTGTGCGCTCTAGGCGGAGAGGGGGCGGGGAACCCGGCGGCTCGGAGCGGAAGTGCGGCCGAGCCAGTTTCCGGGGTGAGTGGTTTGTGGTGCCTGGAGCTGGGCGCGGAGGACGTGGTGGCTCGAGTTCCGGCGCCGTCGCGGCTCATTTCTTGCTGCCGCCATGCTCGACTTCTTCACCATTTTCTCCAACGGCGGACTTGTGCTCTGGTGCGTCCAGGGTGTGAGTTTCTCTTGCACCGTGCCGTTAACGCGTTGATTCGTTCCGTGCTGCTGCAGGTACCAACTCCCGCAGGAACAGAACTCCGAGCTCTTTCTCCCCGACCCGGTCCATAGTCCGCCTTCGACTAATCATCCCGTTCCTTTTTCCCATCCTCTCGGCCCACCTCAAACTGTTTACTCACCTGTCACCTGGACTCAACTTTCTTCTGTCCCCATCAGTCTACCGCGCAACTTTGCGACGCCCCCCGCCCGCGGCAGCTGGGATTCTAGGCCGACTCGGGCACTTCTTCAGGTTTCCCTCGGCGCTCTCCAGTCAACCCTCCTTCCCCAGCAGCTTTGGTTTTCTGTTGTTTAGAGGCTTGGTGAAATTGTGGATGGAAAAACACCTTTAAGAAACTGTAAATGGTGCACAATTGGTAGTAGATCTGATTGTATACGTATGACTGTTTCCCTTCTAGCTCCCACTTGTCTTGCCTTCTCCCCTTCCTCCAGCTTGGTGTCTCGTTTTCTTAATGTTTCTCCTTTCCCCAATACGGTGTCTCCTTTTCTCCCCGGTGGGATGCTAGAGAGAGACGCCTCAGCATCCTCTTGTCCTAGGGTCAGGTTTCTCTTTGAGGGGAGTGTTTATTTCTTTACCAAAGGTAATCCCGAAGGGGTTCCACGTCTGGGTTTTCTGAACAATCAGACATACTCTTTTTTTCCCTAGAAACGGGGAGGTGACAGCTACTTCACCCATGAGGCCCTCACATTCAAGCGTAAACTAGACAATAGTTTGAGCTTTTCTTTGTGGTAAGCATTTTATGGAATATTTTAGAGGGACAACGAACAGGTTACAGTCGGAAGATTGTAACATTGACCTATGTAGACAAGTTGATAGATGATGTGCACCAGCTCTTTAGGGACATGTACGGCATAGAGATCCAACAACAAAGTGCTTTAAGTCTGTTGAATGGCACTATTGATTTCAAAAATGATTTCCTACGGCTCCTTTGGTGAGACTTCCCCTCTCCAAAAATCATTTCCATGACTTGGTGAGTTCCCATTCTGTAGGTGGTTCAAGGGTAGTAAATCCTGTGTTCAAAGCCATTTCTAATTTGCTGTTTACTTCTGTTTGTCTTTTTGGTATATGAGACCTCTCTCTGGAATCTTTTTTTTTTTTTTTTCTCCTTTATGGGGTAGAAAGATGAACCATTCTCTTTTTCCTTTAGTGAAGTAGAGGAGAGCCGTAAGATCTGTGCTCCCACTACCATGAAGAAATTTGAGAATTCCGAAAAGGCCAAGAAACCGTTGAGAACCATGATTGAAATAAGGGTTGGGGAGAAGCCCAGAGAAAAAGCAAAGAACAGCAAAAAAGGCAGGGGAGTGGCAAGAAGGAAGGTATGTTTGAGCTCCTTGGACATGCATGAAAGGTGTTAACATGGCACTAAGGACTGATGCGCTCCTTCCTTTCATCATTGCTTGCTTAACTCTGACTCACATGCTCACCATGCTATCATCTCCAGGCCTTGTCATCTGAAACATAAATGCTCAGTTTAAGTTTGCTCTTAAAGATTTGGAAGAATTATAATCGTTGTCTAGTTGGTTGATATTTGGTCGGTTTTTTTTTTTTTTCTCTAATGAGAAACCTAACAGGTTCTGATGGCCATTTGGCTACCAGCAAAGCAGCTCCTGCAGAAAAGTTGGGTCTCCCAGCAGAGGGGCCTGAGAGTGAACTTTCCAAAGAGGAGCTGATACCCAGGAAGAGAGAAGAGTTCATTCAGAAGCATGGGAGGTGACTAGACAAATACAGGTGAGTGTTCTAACTCACTAGTTCTCTCTAAAGACTGTTATCTGTGTTGGGGGCCAGGGAGCTGTTTGGGCTAATGTTCTGCCCTACTTCTCCACCATAACCCTTTACCTTTAATCTACTGCATCAAGTCCATGAAATGGCCTGCTTCTTTGAACCTATGTTATATAGCCTAGACTTTAGGAGTTATTGGGAAGGTTAAGTATTGTTAGTACTTGAAAGTGCTTAGAACAGTATGGTCTGGATGCCTGGGGCAGGATACTAGCATAGTCCTGGTTCCCTTAGCCCAGAAAGGTATTGGGTATTTTTAGTACATTCCTTGGTTTCAGGGCTGGGTTTCTTTAACCTCCCTTATGAGTGGTGACTTCCACAGTCAAGCAAGTTCTGTAGGATGCCCAGTGTCCCCAATGCCCTTATGTTGTCACCTTCTATGATGTTAATGGAGTGGGGAAGTCTGTTAATCTTGCCATGGCAGCACAGTTCACAGCACAGTACCAGCCTGTCACTGGTACTTCACTCTCCATGTCTTAGAACACTGTTCTACGTGACGGTTTCTTAGTTCCTTCACAGATTTTTCGGGCTGTTAGAGTATGGCTTCAGTGTCCTCATTGCTGCCTGTGATACATTTTGAACCAGGGCTGTGGAGCAGCTATGTACTCACACCCGGAGTCTGACTGCTCTACACCCCCCAGAAAAGCAAGGTAGTCGCACCATGAAAAGGTAAGGTTGCTACCAGCATTGCCGTGGAAGCCGTTGCCTCCAGTACAGAATGTGGGGAGTGTAGAAACTTGCGGGCCCTTTCCTCCTTGAATTCCCTCGGAATTTGCAGAGAGGGTCAGAGGGTCAGACTTTACTACTATAATCTTACCTCTCAGTAACAAGAAGGTCAGGATTAGTTACTTGCCAAACTATGCTTTTGGGTAGTCTGTATAGTTGTGAGCAAAGCTGATAGATCCTAACGAGACAGACCTGAATTGGGTCACTTTTATCCTCCTTCCATCCTTTCCTTGTGGTGGCCATGAATATATTATCTTGTAACTGAATCAGTAGACTGAATAAGTAAACAGATAGGCTTTTCACATAGCCAAATGAGGACTTCCTGAGAGCAAGCTGGCAGTGAGCATGAGTGAGTTGGGTATTAGGGGTTGACCCCTTTTTCTCTGTAGCATGAAACCAAGGATTTGATGTGGTGCTGGTGGACACAACTGACCGAATGCAAGACAATGCCCCCTGATGACTGCCCTGGCCAAACTCATTGCTCATTACTGTCAATACATCTGACTTTGTGCTGTTTGTGGGGGAGGCCTTAATAGTCAATGAAGCCACGGACCAGCTGGTGAAGGCTTGGGCCTAATTTCCTTTGCAACTTAAACTCTGGCAAATTAGATGGTTCTTGTACTTATGCCGCCTTTTTTTCCCTTTCTAGGTCAAGTTCTGTGGCCCTTGGCTCATTGATGGCATTGTCCTTACCAAATTTGATACCACTGATTACAAGGTAAATGTGGATGACACAGGACAGGGAGACCGGAGGGAGCAAGGAATGGGCTTCCTTCACAAGGAAGCTGAGGCTTTAGGGATAGGTTAGCTCTAGAGCTGCTTGTTAGTGAGGGTGTGAGTGCAAAGAAAGGCTTGAGGTAATTGGGTATCCCCTTTTCCCACATCAGGTGGGAGCTGCCATTTCTATGACGTACATCACAAGCAAACCCATTGTTCTTGTGGGCACTGGCCAGACCTACTGTGACCTACACAATCGAAACCACAAGGCTGTGGTGGCTTCTCTAATGAAGGCTTAATGTGGCTCTTGCTGAATATCAAATCACTGCTTCCCCCAAGCTCCCATTCCTGTATGAGGAATGTGCTTTAGAGCATTTTCTGAGCAATTTGTCTTCAGTATAGTTCAAAGGCAGAATGAGGGGAGCTCTAGGGGCTTAAAGCTCCCTCTAACCCCACTCCCCTGTTCAACCCAGCCCCCACCTGCAAGGAGGGCCTAATCATGTCACAGTCACTGCCCACTCACTCTCCTTCTCCCCGTGAGCCTCCTCTTCCTACTTGGGCATCTCCTTCACTCTGCCTGCAGACTCCTCATTACAGCTTTGACCAATGGTTGGAAGATCAAATATTCAGAGCTTTGATAATTAGTGTGGCCACAGAGCCATCTGAGTTAAGGAACAGTTTGAAGTCCCAGCTTCATTAGGTTAAGAGACTCTTCCAGAGCCAGCTCTGGGTCTTGAGTAGCACCTCCCCTGGGATACACAGCATTCAGGTTCCTTGCGCTAGGATGACACCCACCTCACTGTGGCAGTGTGTGGCCTATTACTTGCTGCTAATTATAAACCTGATGATTACCCCTACCCCATTGTTTCCCAGAGTTTCAGCTAGGCCAGAGTGATTTGTTACAAATGAGTGAAAGGTAAGTCCTGCTTCCCTCAGAACAAAGGGAGCAGAGCTGCAGTGTTGCATTGGGCTTTTCAGCCTCGCAGCTCTTCCCCATTCCCAAAATCCAGATGTACGCTTTCCATGTTCCCCTTCCTGGGAGAAAGCCTATTGTCAGAAGGGTAGCTTTTGTCCACTTTCCCTCACCACACTTCATATTTTGAGTGGGTTCTGGCTTTTCTCAAGTCCTCTCTTCTACAGCGCCTGGTAGATAAGTGCTATGTCGAAGAATACAAACCTCTTGTTAAGACTTGTCCTGTAGTTTGGTATTACAGATGTGCTATTAGAACAATAAGGCTAAGGCTGTCTGCCCAAGGAAATTCATAATTTATATAAGAAAATAAATTTTATTAATAAACTGCCTCTTGGGTCTTGAAGTTATTTTATATAGGATTCAAATTAAAATCCTAAATCACACTAACTGTAGTTCTGGGGCTTATTTATAGTAAGAAGGGCAACAAAGCAGGAACAGATAATGCTCTGAGGAGTTAGGTAAGTAAGTAGCTGTCCCCAGAATGAGATCACACCAGGGAGAAAACACAACTTTGAAAATTTAAATTGGGTTATAAAAAAAATTTTGGCTTCTTAGTACCTTCAAAATAAATAAGAAATAAAAAAAAGGCTGGTGGAGTGCCTCAAGTGGTAAAGCACCTGCCTAGCATGTGTGAGGCCCTGAGTTTGAACCCCAGTGCCCCCCAAAAAAATAAAAATAAAAAATTTGGCTCCTTAGTACCTTAATGCAAGTTGGGAGTTTTCTACAGTGACTCTCAAAATATCACAAGGGCCCTGCAAATTAAATGAACAGCAAGTTTTTCATATAGCTCAGTTATGTAAAATACTATACACTGTAAAAGATCTAGGAAACTAGACCTTAAAGTCATGTTTTTAAAAAGTCATTAAACTTAATTGAAAACTCAAGTACAAAACTGCAACAAGAGCCCACTAACTCCTGACTTCTAGCCCCCCAAGTCCTTCCTGCGGAGCTGCAGCCACAGTCAGTGGAGGTATAACATTGGTCTGCCTGGGGGTGGGTAGGGGCTTCACTGGGTCGCCATGTCACTTAAGTATTCTTAAACTGGAGCAGGCAGCAGAATATCAAGAACCAGCAACATGAAGCAAAAGATAAAACATCTACCTCCACCCCGGCCCCAAACCCCATCCTACCCCTAGATGTCAACCTCTGAGTGTTGGTGATTCCTGGGATCTAAGCTGTGTTCTCAGAAGTCTGCTTATTTTTTTTTCTTTTTTAATAATATGAGGGGATTTCATTGTGATAACTTTCATGTGTGCATACAGTGTGCCTTCAACAAGTTCACCCCCTCCATTATATTCCCATTCCCTCTCTTCCTCTTACCCCCTCTTTCATTGTTTGGTGGGTTTCATTATGCTGTCTTTTATTTGTATATATGCAGTATACTTCCATCTTCTTCACCCCTCAGTATACTTTTCTTTCCCTGTCCCCCAGTTTGCTTATTAACTGAGATCTCAGGTCATTGGCATTCCAAAGAATTAAGCAGATTGCAAAGCAACAGCAAAGTTTGAAAGCAGAAAGAAGGACAGTACACTCTTCAAGGCAGAGGGAGAGCCGGCTTGGTGAAGTGCTCAAGACCACAGCAGGTGCCTTGGTTTACATGAATATTTATACACTACAAAAGGGGCGGGGAAATTTGAGGTGGTACTTAGGAGTGGCTTTTGGTGATTGACACATTGATTGATTTCTCTAGCACACTCATGGCCTCCACTCTGGGGAGAGAAAAAAAATGTACAGAATGGAATGATGTTTCAGAAAACAGGTTTATGCATCTAAAGCTGCAGACACTTAAAGTCAGTCCCAATCCTTTAGAAGGCAAGATGGGAGATTCTAGGAAAAAGGATCCTTAACAGGTTTGGGAGAGGTAAACCATTATTTTCCACAGTCTTAAGCTTCAGGAAAAGCTCTGCTGACAGAGTGATAAAAAGTGGCATAGGAATTAGTATATCATTTCACCGTGTGCTTCTCTCACCATCCCTGCTAAATACAGAGTGAATCAGTATCAGATGTTAGGCTGAAAAGCTGAAACAATAGAAAAAGTGAAAACTAACTAAATGAGAGCTAAGAGTTTATGGTATGACTAAAAGATGACATTTAGGAATGGCACAGAATATAAAGTGAGAGAATAAATTGAATTAGTGTTCAGGCTCACATTAAACAATGGAAGCAGTAAGATTCTTTACTGTACTAAGATTGCGTGGGCGTTTGTTTTATTGAGACAGGTCTCACTATGTTCCCAGGCTGCTGCTTGAATTTGAGCTGCAGCCTGATCCTC